ATTAATTGGCAGATTTGTGGGCTAGGGGCTCACAACCAGAGCACATCCTGCAATCTAGAAGTTTTATGACCAGTAGGGCAAGAGGTTATCTGGTTCACAGTCTTCTCAAGGCAAGGGGTAAATGTTGACACAGCTGCTGGTGGGTTCGAGCTTCGCTTCTTTCTGGAAGCCATTGGTGGTCTCTGGTCACATAGCCTATGGTCAGAGGTCCCTTGTTTAGCTAGGATCTTTTCTTATTTTTCCCACCATATAATACATCTTTCTTCTAGATTACAGGCAAGACCAGGCATATTTTGAGGCTTGTTCAAAATAAGATTAAAGAACTTTATTTGTGTTGAAAAGTGAATTGACATCAGAAAAACTGTTTCTAAACAGCAGTGGTGACAACATACTTTACAGTCAATGCATATCCTATCAGCAGAACTGGTCGTGACAAATGACCTTTGGCATGTTAGTAGCATCCATGTCACCATGGCAGGGCAGTATCAGTGTAGACATCTCAGAGAACCGGGGGGAAATGGTATTTTTCCTGGGTTTTAACCAGGGATTGCACAGGGAAGACATCAGCACAGCCAAACAAGGTGAAGGAGAGTGTGAATTGCAACCATTGTAGGGCAGGAGAGCAGTTAGCAGGAAATAGCAAAGAGGGGACAAGCCCCAGTGCACAGCTGATGGTGCCAACCCAGACAAATCTTGCTTTTTTTCTTGTCATTTTGATTGCATTTTGACCCTCAATTGAAGTGGCCTGGAAACACAACTTGCTCATTAAAGTGTGGCCACATTTATAAAGAGATATCCCTAGTAACAAGCCCAGAATCCTCTTTGTGAAATTCTGTTTTGAATTCAAAACAGACATCATCAGTTCACAGATAAATAAACACCCAACTTTTGTGATGTTCTTTTAAAAGAATGTTAGCGTTCATGTTAGAGCATATCAGAACTCTCTACTACACAAGTAGGGTCCATATATTTAAAAATCTTCCTGCAGTGCCCTCTCCTGTTCACTGTAGTGAAGTGCCGTTTCCCATCTTTTAGAATAACCCATCTTGGCAGGGTTGTTTGATTGCAAATTTTGTAAGGAATTTTCTGACAGTTTACTTCTAGTAATTCTTCTTTGCTATGTTAAGAAACTACTGTATCAAAGAAAAGAACACAAAATCAATAACAAAGATTATGTGAATTATATTTCCCCAACTCCTAGAATTTATGGTGTTTAATTTTAAACTGTAAGGTTGGAACATATACTTGGAACACTGTTTCTCCAGATCAACTGTTACCCATCATACACATACATAACACCTGTTTCTAGGATGACCTATGTCACTAAATATCAATCAAAAACTGTTCAGGGTTGACTTCAGGCAATAAACAAGAATGATCTATCAGAGGCTGCTGCCATGACTGTCTGCTGTTGTGGTGATATATTATTTATGATTTATTAAAGCTTGCCTGGGGATTCAGAAAGCAAAGTCAGGCATAAGCTATAAAAACCAGGCGGCGGTGGTACCTATAATCCCACCACTTGGGAGGTAGAGGTAAACGGATCTCTGTTAGTCCAAGGCCACACTGTCTACATGAAATTGATCCAGTGCTAAGAGAAACAGTTCACATACAGATGATCTCAGCACGTGGTATCACATGCCTTTAATCTCAGCACTAGAGAGGTATAAAAGATAGGAGCAGTGTCACGAGCACTTACAGGGTTTTAACCTGGGGGGGAATGGCAGACCAGCAAATTGGTTTAGAGTATATATTTTATTTCACACTTATATCAGAGCAATATACACAAGCAGAAGCAAAGTCCCAGAGACCATAGCCACTAGGCTCACAACCAGGGTACCTGTCAGGTGCAAGGCCACGACTTAAGATTCCTCTGGATTCAAGCAGCGAGTCTGCCCAGGTCTCTGGTCTTCGGTGTCTGGTATCAGATCAGGTGACTCTCAGCTTAGTGGACTGGCTTCTCAGGTAGAGGAGAGCTCCATCCAGGACATGTCCTTCAGGCATCATGGTGGGCTCTGCTTCTCAGTCCTGAGCTGGTCCTTAAATGCCTTGCTTACCACACTCTGCCGCACATATACACGCTCCTGCATTATTTCTAGTAGTCGGATAACGTGCCTGTGCTCACATTCCTAATCTCCTTCCAGCCAGGCTTCTGCCTGTCTGCTTACATGCTCCTTACAACAGGTAAGCGAAGTGAGCAAAATCAAAAAGAAACAATGCACAACCTAATAATTGCCTAGTAGATTAGATGGATAAACCCAGATATTGTTGGAAGGAGAGACAAGAACATATAATAAAGTGCCCAAATTGAATCTAAATTTTGAAAACCTAATCTAAGAAGCCAGAAGAACCCAGGCACACATCTGTGATCCAGAACTTGGGACGTGGAGGCAAGAAGTTGTCCTCCACCATTTAGCATTTTTCAGGCAAACCTGAGCTATATGGAAGTGGGGATGGGGGAGTAGAAGAGAGGAGGAGTAGGGGAGAGGAGAGGAGAGAGAGGAAGGGAGGAGAGTAAAGGGGTGGGGAGGGGAGGAGAGGAGAGGGGAAGAGAGGAGAGGAGAGAGAGAGGACATCTCTTAATCATTTTAACTCTGGTGGACTAAAATGTAGTCTTAAAAATGAAATTTCCAAAGCCAGATCCAAAAATACTATAAATATGAATAAGTAAATAAGTAAATAAATACAATGTTACTAAGGAATTATCACCATCAGTAGTTCTAGGATCAACTAGCCCTACTGAAAAGCACAATCAAATTTTCAAGAATTCAGACAACATTGTCTATGCAGTCTAACATGATTGAGGAACATTTTTAAAAGCTGGAATGTTATCCGGTGCATTGAGAGGGTGCTAACAACAATCTTGACATAAAACAAATATTAGAGTACAATGAAAATTAAAAAGAAGCTTCAGGCTAATGCATATGTATTATTTGTCTTAGATTTTTACATTTTGCTTTGTGCATGCATGAGTGTGGGTGTGTCATGTGAGCATGCGTGCGAGTCGAGGTCAGAGGACAACTTTTCAGCGGTTGTTTCTCTCCTTCCAGTGGGGGGTCTGGTTTGCAGGGCGATTGTTTTTACTGGCCGAGCTATCTCACAGGTCTGTGAATGCACACTGTGTCTATTGTCACGCTTTGTTAAGAAAAGCGTTACATTCTCTTCACTGTTTTCCAAAGCCAATAAATGTCTATAGCATTTCTTTGATTACATTTATCAGCATTATACACAGAAAAGAAAACTACCCCTTACTGGGTATGAGGCTAAGAACCTTAACATATAAATTTTATACACCTATTGATTATGTAAAGGGAAACAGCTCACTCTCCCTCTCTACATTGAGTACTCATTGGTTGTGGGGTATCAGGAGGTGTGGGGTCTGTCTCTAGCATCAAGCAAGTCATTTTGCCATGGACACAAGTTCTGGCAGGTTCAGCATGGTGATCACACTGGAACTCATAGGTTCGACGGTTCAATCCCCAAGACAGCCCCAACTCCAGACCCAGCCACAAAGCTGGCTACAAAGCATTCCCATGTTCCTGTCCACAAGTTCAGTTAATTTGCTAAGTGGCTCACAGAGCTTGGGGTTAGCATAGTGCTTACCCTGGCTGTTTTGTTTTTAAGGGAATGCAGGGAAGACATCCAGTTGAAGACATAGATAGGGCAAGGACTTGAAGAAAGTGGACAACAAGACCGTCCATCCATCCCTCTGGAGGAAGGGTGCACCATCCTCCAAGCACACGGGTGACTTTGTTTACCTTCCCGGAAGCCCCCTCAAACGCTGCAGAAGCCTGTCCTGTGGAGATTCTTCTTAAGAGGCCATTCATTGATGAGGTATGGTTGAAGGATGGATGACCACATGCAAAAATGATTGGACAAAAAGGGTCTGGTCCACTGCTGATGGCCGAGTGGGGATCCCGGCAAGGTTTGTCTGGATTTCTGATTCCAGCACACTTGCAGCACCATCTTCCTGGGTGTGGGACGGAAGTCCTCTGAGGGGGGGATTGTGTGATCCACTGTCCTACAAGGCAGGTCAGAGGCTTCCTCACTGACCAGCTCCAGGTCGTCCGTGTGGGGTGAGATCAGGGCTCCTGTGATCTGAAGAGAGCTCCTAGTTTCTGTGGTCACTAGGGAGGGAAAAAGCAGCTGAAGGGAGGCCGGAAAAGGCCGGAGGACTTGTGCCTTCTGAGACCTAAAGATGATGCGTGGTGTCCCCGTACGTTAGAAATAACAGGGTGAAAAGATAGATAGATGTTCACGCAGGTACGCGTGGACACGCCCTAGTTTCACAAAACACGCGCGGATATATCCTAATTTCACAACTGACGTTAGTGACGTACAGGTTCTAACAGCGCAAGGCCTTCCAGGATTTTTTACCAAAGATCTATGAAGAAAATCTCTCTTGAGAATGGCTAGCGCGCTGATGAACTACAAGGATTTTTAAGAACGTGTGTGATTTACAGTCACCTAGCAGCAGGGGAGGTGGGCTTTGTGCTGGACAAGGATGGCGTCCTGGGATGAGTGGGGCCTGTCCCCAGGGGGGTCTGAGCCCAGCTGAGCAGCAAGTGCGCCACCATTGACAGGGGAGCACTCCGGACCTGACCGCCCGACCGCCGCTGGGCTGTGCAAGGAGACAAGGCTGGACCCAACTCAGAGCTTCTCCTGGTCCTGGAGGAGGAGGCGTGGCCTGAAAGAGTGTAATAGTCAAGAGCAAGGTGTGAGAGGGGAGGCGGGGCCTGAGGGAGGCCGTAGAGGAGGCGGGGCCAGAGGGAGGCTGTGGAAATAGGAGGCGGGGCCTGAGAGAGAATGTGAGTGAGTGGGCGGGGCCTGAGGGGGGCTGTGGGCGAGGAGGCGGGGCCTGAGGGAGGCGGTGGTTAGGAGGCGGGGCCTGAGGGAGTCTGAGGTGAGGAGGCGGGGCCAGAGTGAGGCTGTGGAAGAGGAGGCGGGGCCTGAGGGAGGTGGGGCCTAAGGGAGGCTGTGGTTAGGAGGCGGGGCTAAGGAACGGAGGGCGGGAACTGAGCGCGACGCCTGGTGGTGCGCTTGGCCCAGACCGCTGGCCGCCGGCCTGAGCCGGGCATTTTCCTAAGGTCAGGGGCGGAGGCGAGGTTGCCGGGACCGGAAGCCGCGGTGGGATGCGGCTGACGCGGACGCGGCTGTGCTCGCTCCTCGTCGCCCTGTACTGCCTCTTCTCCATCTACGCCGCCTACCACGTCTTCTTCGGGCGCCGCCGCTGGGCGCCGGCCGCCAGCTCCCGGGGCTCCAGGAAAGCGGCTGTGCAGGCCAAGGAGAGGCACGGCCGAGGTAGGGCCGAGGCGGGCAAGGCTGCGGGCCTGAGGCTCTCCTGGGATCGCTCGGGTCCCCTGGGCGAGCTTCCTCTGGAGCCAGCTCGGGGCTCAGATCGGAGGCTCTTCTCGCCCTGGTGGCGAGCTCCCTGCCCCAGCCGCCACCCCGTGCACGCCTTTAAAGCGTGGAGCAGCCCCTCACTCCGCCCCAAAGGCCGGAGTTGCGGAAAGGCTGCGGGCGAGCCGCGAAGCGCCGCTGCGTCTGAAGCAGCTGTCCCGCGTTAAGCACGGGCTTTCTAGTCGTGTGACTTCAGAAGGCCGGGCTTCACATTTCCAGCTCCGAGTCCCATGTGGTATTTCGACCTGTTTTGGAACTGCAGTCCTTTTTCACACCCTCGCTCAGAATTTTTGCACAGGTGTATTAGGACTTTGGAGGCGAGAGTGCGCTAAAGTTAAATTGTCCTAATAGTTTACGTATATAAAAATGGTAAACAATTCCAGAACTAAAACTTGTAGCTCGATATGTGTTCTGCAGGTATTTCTAAAGGTTTGTGGGGAAGACATAATTGGCCTGCCTCAGTCTAAAACATTTTTTTTAACTTTAACAGAGATGGTTTAATAACAAAAATGTTGGTTTCTTTTCTTTTTTTCAATTGTATGCTGCAAGTTCGATTGTCTGCCTCTGAAACTTGAAGATGAAACTCGGTAGTACTCTCTTGCGTGTCATTCAAATGACTTGACTTTGCGTCAGCAGTTACTCCTCAAGGGTAAAAGCAGTTGCTTTCTTTAACACAGATCCATCGACCCTGGAGAGTGAAGAATGGAACCCTTGGGAAGGAGATGAAAAAATCGAGCAGCAACACAAAATTAAAACTAGCCTGCAAATGTTAACCAAATCCACAGGAGAAAAAACAGAGCGAAGTATACAAATCTGGGGCAAAGCTGCCATTGGTGAGTTAATGCAAAGAGGGAAACATGGGAAGGCAATGTAAACCATGCACTGTACTCAACTTACTGGAGTATGTATTTGCCTAATGGAGATATTTCATCTTTTGTCAGAACTTCATTTGTCTTTCCCCTTGGGTATGCAAGTATACAAGTACTCCCCTGTTGGTTATTTGCATTCCTTGGTAGATACAGAATAGACTGTGTAACATCATTATATCGTAACTCTTGTGCCAACTGAATTTTTATTCATGTGTATAATGAATGATCACTTGGGTGTGTGCTTGTGTCTGTGTTGGGTGTCTTCCTCTTCACTCTACCTAGTTTTTTGAGACACTGAACCTGAAGCTACCTGAAGTTGGCTAGACTGGGTGGCAGACAAGTTTAGGAAATGCTGAACAAGGCAGCATTCAACAAGGTTCTTCATTGCAAGCCTTCCTGTTTTTAATATGCTAGCGTTCACTTGGCCCAGCGAAGTGTTGCAGTATATAGCTGGTTAAACTTAAATGTCATCTGGGGGTGTAGCACAGTGTACAGGATTAACATGCGCAACCCCTGAAGCTCAATCCCAGCACCAAAAATAAATAATAAAAACCTTGTTAGTTCACAAGTTTATCAGGAGAGTGTTCCAGGATGTACATTGTGTTCATTTAGTGAGCGAGGCCCTCAGTGACTGAGATTTTATGTAGATATAATTTACAGTGTATGACATCGATAGCATGATAAACATTTGCACTGTGAAATTGTCAGCCGGCTATCCATCTTAAACATATTTATTTTTGGTGAGAATATTTAAAATTTAGTCTCGGAAATACCAAGTATACAATATAGTATTAATAAGTATAATCATGATACTGTACTTTAGGTCTGCATAATTAATCCATCCTGTATTAATGAGACTTTTTACCCTTTGATTGACATTTCCTCATTTTATCTAACCCCTCTTCTGCTTTTTTGGCCTTTGAGCATGAGTTGACTTATGTACAGTGAGAGATAGAGTTGAAAATAAGTACTAGATGAGAAAATGGTAAATAGCATAGTGCCTGGTTGTGGTATTTCATAAATGTATTTATGATTGGTTGCAGTAAAGACATCTTGAAGATTACTACTGAACTCTGAACTTCAAATAGCTCAACCTGGATTTGTAATGACTCAATTTAAACAGTTTTTGAGGGATTTTTCTGGTGGTGGTAGTTTTTCTGTTGTTTAAATTAAGTACTGATTCCTTCCTGTAAGTCTCCATATTCTCATTCCACTTTGAATTTTACATATGAGCAGGTTTTCATGTTGTCAGACTTTTCTTGGTTCAGTAAGTATCATAGTGGCCCTTGAACTTTATCAGACACTCCTATCATCAGCATATACCCTGTACGGTCATAGCAAACCAGTTACAGAGTTCCCGTTAAAGGGGAAGTGGGTGTAAAACAGTCCTTGGTCCCGACACATTGGGAACTGAGGCAAATCCCGTGAGATTTTTCCACCTAGAGGGATCTCTGGCACAGTTTTCTCAGCTCCACCTTTGGAGCCATCCTCCCTTTTGCATGAGGAATATCATGTGTAGCTCAGTAGATTTATTAGCCTTTTCCTGCTGGTAGAATTGTTGAACCAAATGGACTTCATTCATTTCAACCTCTGTCGGAGTTGATCTAGGTTGTCAGAATTCGTGATAGCATAGTGGTCTTTAAAACTTTGAAGATCTTTTGTGCATTGTCACAAGGATTTACTCTATTAGGCATAGAACTCACCCACATACCTTTCCTGGGGAGTCCCTTCTCTATTTCTGGCATCTGCTAAGGTGGCTAAGGAGATCCACAAATCACATGCATAATCTCTTCCAATAGCCTCTTGTGCTAACGAATATCTTAATTTTGTTTGAGGCACTAACAAAAAGTTAGTTACAGCCGGCAAATCTTTGATCTCTCCAGAGCATGGTTTCCTGACAGTAAATGTGCTTTTTCATCTCTTTTAAAATCTGAATGGTCCAAAGCTTTCCCACTGTCAAATCCTATCTTGTTTAACAGTTCATCTGTCACTCTTTTTTTCATCTTGTACTTTACTATGGTCATTTTAAAAAGCAGACATTTAATACTGTGCTTACATATCTCTTCGGAGAAATACCCAAGTTCATCAGTTCTAAGTTGGGACACAGTTTGGCTAAGTGGGTGGCTCTTATACAACACAGGTCCTCTTTCATCATTTCTAATAACACAGTCCACATTTTCTTCCATGCCCGTCTACCATTAGTATGCATGTTCTACTAACAGCCAGTGTGTAACAGTCTGAGTGTTCTTAGACAGTGTAGGCGTTCTCTACTGTGGCCCTCACTCTCATGAGTCTTCCTCACTAAATGAACCGTGAGCAGCTGCATTTCTCTGCACTCAGTTTGAGGCATTCTAGTGTAATCTTTGTTAAAAATCATGTTCTTCCAAATTCTTCCAGCCACCCCCATTTCCCTATTTCAAAGCCACTTCTACATTTTTAACTGTTTGCTGCACCTTGATGGGGAAAATCCATCTTTGTATGTGTCTCTCTTTGGTTAATGAATAAAGCACTGTTGGCCAATAGGGAAGCAAGGTAGGTGGGACTTGGAGTCGAGGAGTAAAAGGTCTGGACCCTTTCTCTGGTAAGAGAAGATCACATGGAAATACTTAGACTAGAGCTAGCCAATTAGAAATCAAAGCAAACAGCCAACAGCTTCATAATTAATATAGCGTCCTGTGTGTTATTTGGGGGCGAAAGCAGCAACGGGACCCAGGTGGGAATTCCACAACAAATGGCAGCGGCTGGCAGGAAGACTATATGTATCAGCACCTCACTTCCAGATACTATATCCTGCCCACATAACATGAAGTTTTCTATGGCTGCTATAACAAACACCGTATTTCATGACTCAAAACATTACAACTTTATTCCCCGCCTTTCTCAAGGAGGGTTTTCAGATGTCTCTGGACAGCTCTCCATCTCATCACCTTAGTCATATTGAGACACTCTTGTAATATAATATTCACAGGTTCTAGAGATTAAGACATGGGCATGGAAAAGCTGGGTCTTATTCAGCCTGACACATTTGGAAGCTCTATCTGATTGCCCAAATTTTAAATTTGGTTATTTGAATGACTTTAGTAACATGGCATCATGGAAGTGGAACAAAAACATCTTTCAGTATATTAATATGTACTGCTGATCTTGTCTACTCTTAAAGCTTTCATTCAGATGAAAGCAAGATAAAGCATCATGGTTGTCCTAAGAAGAAAGGATGAAGTGTCATTTGTCTGCAGAGGGGAACATGCATTCAGGGATGTCTGATCAAATGGGGAGGTAATATCCTCTTGACATACTGAATATTTGGGTATACTGATGAGCTCCTCTGACTTCAGCACATGTTTAATCCTTCCAGTTACAATATTAAAATTAATTCTAATAATGATGGTGGTAATTTAGTTTATAATAAACTTTTTTCAGAATATGATGGGCAGTAAGGGTTCAGTAACATTAGGGGTTCCTCAGTACAAAGTAAAAGATTTTGTTATCATTACTACAACCCATTTTTAACACCTACAGCCACTGAAGTCTGTCCCTCGTACATTTAGTTGCTGTATCGATGACAGGTTTTGCTTGGTAGCATTTGTTGCGAGTAGACCTTGGCAGGAAACTTTTAGGCTCATAGCCAAGATAGAAAGGAACAAAACATACATTTCTCAGACATACTAAAATGGATAAGGCAACAGATGTTTCTGTTTTTCTGCTTTTGTTACCAGGTTTATATCTCTGGGAACATATTTTTGAAGGCACTCTTAATCCCACTGATGTGACTGCTCAATGGAGGGAAGGACAGTCAATTTTACGAAGAACACATTACAGGTATCAGTTGGACAACATTAACCTTGTGTTGCTGTATGATGTTTTATGTAACCACTAGAGGAAAACATACTTTTATACATCTTTCCATTTCAGATTGGGAAAAACACAAACAAATCTTGTGAATGTATTCATAGTTCAAGCTTCATTAAACATTTTCTTATAAAATTGGACATTACAAAATAATTTTGGAGGAAGGGCTGGAGATGTACCTCAGTGGTACAGTGATAGAGTACTTGCCAGCCATGCAAGATTTTATGTTACATCAAAAAACAGTGCTGTTTCCTCTTAAAGAACTTTGTATTCAAGTGCTATAACAGAATTTAAAAATATCTTATTAAGCCAAATGAAAAGTAATATATAATTTATCCAAAATTAATAAACTCCTGGGATTGAGCTCAATCAAGTTAATGTAGGTATTAACCTAAATGAATTCCAAAAATATGTTGTTTGCATAGTCATTCAGGATTTAAATGATTTTTCTGGGCTCTCTTTATTGAAGTATTTACTCTGAAGACATTTTTCAATTGAGGCAAGCAGAAGAAAAAAAATGTGTTGAAATTATAAGTCTTGATGCTTAGACATATGCACATATGCTGTTACCTAGAAGAGCAAATTACCTTTTAGAATTCTACACTAGTTCTTTAGCTATGATTATTCTTCATTAATGGATTTTCATGATAGATGCTTCAGTAATAACCTTAGTTAAATAAAGCATGGCATTCATCCTGTATGTTATACTAAGTCTACATAAGCCTTATGTATAGTAGAAAAATTCAGCAATTTTCATAATTTCTTGCTTTAAATGCAGTGGCTCATTTAGTTGAAGGCTTGCCTAAAATGCACAGACTTTAGGTTTAGTTCCTAACACCACATAAACAAGGAGTGGTGACATACTTTATTGCCAGCACTCCAAAGGAGGATCAGAAGTTCAAGGAAAAGTGAGGACATCCATACTTACCTCCCTTAACTACGTGCTCAAGTGTTATTTACCCATTCTCGGACAGAGCCTTTACCCGTCCCGAGCACTCTGTGAGGTGATCTTCCCTAGTCCTAGATATACATTCCCTACATCTGTGCACACTATCTTTGTCTAAGACTTTGTTCTTTTCAGGACTTTCCTTTATTCCACCTACACTCTTTTCCTTGTCATCCTCATCCATACCTTCAAAACAGTTGTCCATGCTCACTGTTTCTGTTTTCTACCTTCTCATTCCTTTGCACGTTGACGAAAGATCAAAATACTTCAGTGGCAGTGTTTGTGTGGGGCAACATATGACAATGTGAGTTATGGAGCATGTCTCGTCCTTTTATGAAAACTTAGGAAATACATTGCAAACAAAGAATTGTAACATACTCCTACTTACTAACCACTCACACAACATATTTCAGCTGTCATGAATTCTGTATGTTTAACTTTCCTCTTCAAAGAAATGTTTCCAGTAAAAGAAGACATTTCTTTGTTTCCTAGTCCTATTGTTCTTCATTCCTCAGAGAGAATTGCTGTTAGGAACTTGTGTATGCTCTTACTCAGATTTTTATATTACTACTGGTAGAAGGTATATAAGTATTTTCTTCCAATATGTACTTTCATATTGGAAAAATAAAATTACACTTTAAGGGCTGCCAAGATGGTAAAAATGGTTGCCCTGAAGCTGGACAAACTTGAGTTCAGCATGCATGTATATGTGCACACACATGCACACAAATCCTTTTAATTATGTGTTAAGACTATTCTGAACTTGATGTTTTCCTTTACATTATTTTCTGGTGCCTTGTCTTCAGTGAAGAAATGAGAATCCACATATTCCATTCTCATATACTAATTGATTTTTACCTCCAAACCTTTCTATTAGCCTATAGCCCTGTCCCAGACTTAATTCAGAAGAACTGGTATTATACAATTTCATTTCTAAAGAAACTACAAATTGAATGTCATTCTGGATTTTATATAAAGTGACTGAAACTATTCTTTGTTCGGTTTTATCTCTTTTTTGTGGTATACTGTTTTCTACAGCTTCATCACTGGCCCAGCTGTACTTCCAGGATACTTCTCCATAGATGTGGGCAATGTCGTCCTCGTCTTAAATGGGAGAGAAAAAGCAAAGATCATCCACGCCACCCAGTGGTTACTTTACACACGGAATTTAATACAAACCCAAAAACTGCAGCATCTGGCTGTTGTTTTGCTTGGAAATGAGCACTGTGACAATGACTGGATAATGCAGTTCCTCAAAAGAAATGGAGGCTTTGTGGACCTGCTTTTCATAACATATGACAGCCCCTGGATCAATGGTGCCGATGTTTTCCAGTGGCCTTTAGGTGTAGCAACGTAAGTAGCAGATGAGATTGTGCATCCCTAGACTCCAAGGTCTAATGCTCTGAATCAGAAACATGGTGTTTTAAATGGCAATGGGCTTACAGATGATGAGGCCAGGGGTAATCTTTCCTAGGGTCAATAAGAGTATGGTCTCATGCCTCAGTGTCATTTGTGACAGGTTTTTGTTATTGTTGTTTTGGGAGTATTTTACCCTCCTCTGAGGAGACCTGATGAGTATTTTTTTATCTTAAAATGAATATAGGATAAATATTTAAGCTTATTAGTGTCCTAAAGAGATGTTTAACAGATAATGAACAAAGATAGAGTCTTAATTCCTAGTGAAAACAAGTATTTTTGTGGTGATATTTTCATGTAAAGAATATACTTACCCTTGGGTTGTGATTGGATGATTTTATGTAAATCTGAACTGTAAAAGCAAAGATTAATTCTTAAAGATCAACATGTAATCATCCCCTAGCTTATAAATTTGGAAGACACTTTTTAAAGTTCTCTGTGAATAGGTTTTTAATAGTTAGCAAACTTTAAGCTAGGTTCCCACTAGTATATAAACTTTCTAAGGGCAGGAATTTTCTTCTCTGCTGGAAAATTGTGTATGAAGGGCTATAGTGATGGCCCAGCAGTTAAGAACACTTGCTACTCTTATAGGAGACCCAGGTTCAGTTCCCAGCACCAAAATGGTGTAGCGTACAGCTCTGTATGATTACAGTTCCAAGGGATGTACACCCTTTTCTGAACTCTGGGTTCATGGCTACACATGGAGGGCAGCAGGCATACACATATATACAGAAATGAAAAAATAATTTGTTATCACTTTTTATTTTAATTTTAAATAGCTTGTTTTACATGTCAATCCCAGTTCCCTCTCCCTCCCCTCCTCCCGCACTCCCCATCCCCCCCCCCAGCCTCCCACCCTATTGCCAATTCCTTCCACATAGGGGATATCTAGAGTCTCACATTTCCCTCAGGGTAGGGTCCAGGCACTCCCCTAAGAGTCCAGGCTGAGAGAGCATCCCTCTTTGTGCTATGGGCACACGATGACTGTTTGTATTCCAGGGATAAACACTGATCCACTGCTCAGGACCCCATAGGTTGCCCAGGCCTTCTCACTGACATTCACATTCGGGGGGTCCAGATCAATCCCATGCTGGCCTCCCCACTGTCGGTCTGGGGTCCAAGAGCTCTCCCCTGTTCAGATCAGCTGTCTCTGCTGGTTTTGCCAGCCCATTCTTTGCCAATTTGCTCATCACTCCTCTCTCTCTGTCACTGAGTTTCTTGGGTTCAGTTCAGTGCTTAATTGTGAGTGTTTGTCTCTGCTTCCATCAGTCACTGGATAAAGGCTCCCGGATGGTTAGAGACATCAAGTTCATTATCAGGAATGGGCATTCGAGGTGGTCTCTCCACTATTGCTTAGCTTGCCAATTGGTGTCACCCCTTTAGATCACTCGAGGTCACTCTGGTGCCTGATCTGTCTTCTAACCTATGATTCCCTCTTCCCCCTATTCTACCCCCACCCACTCAGACTTCCTGTTCCCCCATGACCTACTCTCTCTTCCTCTTCTCCCCCCTCTCTTCCCAGCTCACACTCCCCCCCCACCCCTCGCCGTGTTCCCCATCCATTCAGAGGATCTTGTCTCAATCCTCTGAAAAAATAAATTTTAAAATAATGCTTATACACTGTAGGTACTCATTTGTTGAGTAAAAGAATCATCTCACTGATAGACTTAAACATTCATTATGTCACTGGTTACCACCATTTGTAGCCTCAGTTTTATCTCTATTTAGCTACACAGATGTCACCAGAGAAATGCCAGTGACACATTCCCACCCCTACATGTACAACATTCCAATTGAATAGGTTTGGGCTAGAACCTGCCTTAAAAGTTCAAAGACTTGTCAAGTACACCCACTCTTAAGACTTTCAGAAAAATCTATTCCTTGAGAAGAGCCTATATTTATAAAAATGTTTTTACTTTTCCACATTGTATGAGAATATTTGTATAATGGAAGACAGAAACATAGTAATTCTGGTATTGCCAGATTCATCCTGTTCCAAGTGAGGAAAGATTCAGTACCAACTGGAAACTTTGGTTGTCTCAACTAGAGAGGAAACTGTCCCATCTGCCATTAAATGGGTAGGTCCCAGGTGTCTTAGTCAGGGCTCTGTTGCGATGAAGCGTTGCCATGGCCACAGCAACCCTTACAAAAGAAGTCATTTCATTGGAGCTAGACTACAGTTCAGAGGTTAGGTCATTACTGTCGTAGCAGGAGGCATGGCAGTGTGCAAGCAGACATGTGCTGGAGAGAAATGAGAGTTCCACATCTTGATCCAGATATCAGGAAGTGAACTGAGACACACTTCCTCCAACAAAACCACACCTCCCAATAGTGCCACTCCCTTTGAGGTTTTTGGATCCAATTACATTCCGACCACCACACCAAGGATACTGTTAAACATGCTAAGGAATACAGGACTCTACAAACAAAAAATTATGTGACCCAAAATGCCATAATGATCTCATGTACAGTGTAGTCAGCCTCCTTTGTATGGTATACAGGTTTTATTTGTTTAATATACTTGCAGATTCCTTGGAATTAAGTTTTCAGAGCTCATGACTATAACAGTGTATTTTCTTTTTAATGGATAAACGATGGTTATATATGTCTGTGGTGTATAGTGTGTTTGGAAATCATATTTTAAATGTCCTTACTATACATAACCTAGCAAGCCAGGCTGTGGGATGGTCCTACCATATAGTAATTTAGTGCTTGTTTTTAGATACAGGAAGTTTCCTGTGGTTGAAGCCAGCTGGTCAATGGTGCATGAAGAGAGGCCCTACATATGTAATTTCTTAGGAACTGTTTATGAAAATTCATCAAGACAAGCCTTAATGAACATTTTGAAACAAAATGGAAGTGATAAGCTTTGTTGGGTTTCTGCAAGAGAACAGTAAGTTCTATGTTTGCGTGGTTCCTCCCTGTTGCTCTCCAATCTGCGTGTCACTTTGTGTACAAATAGGTTTCCAGAGAATCACTGGTAACTGCTTATTCTACTGTCCTGTCAGAAGCCACAGTAGTAACTAAAATGGGAGAAACTGGCTCTTCTCCCATCTTTTACAAGTAATTAAGAAGGAGGTGTTGATAAAGTAACAAGTCATTTTGCAATATTTCTTTTTGTTTTTAAATAAACACAGAGTATAAAGCAGAGTGGCCAGAGAACAAATGCCTTCTAGATGGATGTCATTACTATTAATGTAACTATATTAAATTCATTCACTTAACAGTCGCCAAACAACTATCATATTCCAGAAACCATTGTACCCATGATAATGTCAACAGTGAAAAACAAAACAACAATGTTCCCTCATAGCACTTAAATGTCTGTCGAAGGAGACAAGTAAATGTAGCGTGTGTCAGAAGATTATAGTGCTGTGTAAGAAAAGAATGAAGCAGAAGGCCATGCAGAGGACTGGGCATGAAGAGGAGACGAGGCCATTGGTTTCAAGTAGCCCAGGAGAGTACCAGATAGAGGGAGGGCTACCTGAAACACAGGCCTGAAGAAGGAGCAGGGTCAGCCTTGTATCGGTGTGGGACAGCGGTGCCCACGTAGAGGGAGAACAAAGGCAGAAGTCCTAAGGCAGGAGGGTGCTGACCAAACGACTGGTGTGAGTGAATGAAAGCCGAAAGGCTTACTGCAGGAATAATGCTAGTAAAATGGTTCATTGCATTGAGCTAGAGGTCAAGTGTACCCTCTGCTCTTCCCTGTCAAAACCCCACTTCTTCAGTCTCATGCCAGCACGAGTAACTGTTACCGACATTCTCTGCAGCACTGAGCCTTGGGCTTACCACCCTGATTCCTTAACGAATGGCGAATGATGCACCTGTGCCTTGTCACTCCAGCTGACACCAGTCTTGTCTTAATTTTTGGTGATTCCTAAAGCTAAGTAGGTGGTCCTTCCTTTACCTCAGCCATTTCCTGTCATGGTCATTTCCTAAATGACCACTTGCATTTCATAAACACAAGGTCTCACCATGACCTCAAATTCCAGCATTTTCCTTGGTAACTATCCTATCATTCTAGTTCATTCCCTATAACATGACTCCACAACTCAGCTGGAATTTACAACCCGTTGTTCTTATTATCCTGTGGTTGTCTTCCAGTCCCTGTATTCACTTCTGTGCTATGCAGGTTAAATTTTACCATCCCCAAGTATATATTAAATCCCAATGGTAAGAATAAAACCACTACTACAATTTGAGCCACATTTGAAGCGCGCTTGATTTTTATTGGGGTGTACCCAAGAACTGGCTGGAGACTATCTCCTAAGTCAGACTAAAGAGAACAGCCCTGAGTCCACCTCTTAGACCCCTTTTAGGGAGTAAAATCTCAAGTGGTCACAGAAAGGAGGCAATGGGGCAGTAAGGAAATTTTTAAAATCCTTGAAAAACAAATTCATCAACTGTGTGATTAGGGAGGGTCAGGGTATTCCCCAAAACAAATCAAGGTCATGGCGTGGGGATGGTCAGGCTCCAGGAAGCAGAGAGCAACTCAACTCTAACAGTAAGTAGAAACTTATTACACAGTATAATACTCCTGCCTTCAAAATGGAGTCGGGCAAGTTCCTCAGCCCCCATCTAGGAAACCCCACCCTGGCTGGTCTAACTTTCTGCCTGCCCCATATCCACACTTACATCCCTGCACAAGAGTTTGCAGTTTGAAAACTGAAGAACTCGACACTTGCTCAGTTTTCTTCCTAATGTATTCTCCCTCCCCCCTGTCCTAAACTCACAACACCTCCTCCTCAGTCTCCCTACTTTAAAAACCCTTGCTTATTTCACTAAGAAGATACAAACAGAAATCAATGCTTGGCTTCTAAGTGATTTCTCAGCTCGTACACATAAGTGACCTGTATATTCCATTATTGACACAGCAGCCAGATTGACTCTGTGAAAATGGTTGTTGCTCATGTCACCCTGATCAGAACTCTGCGCATAGGACAGCCCTCTGTTACCATTCTGACTTTGTTCTTCCCCTGCCCCCTCAGGCACTCCCCATAGTCTCTTGAGCATGTTGGGCACATACAGTCTCAGGACCTTCATCTTTGTTTATTCTCCATTCTTCTCCACACTGGCATGGTCTGCCTGTTCACATCCAATTCTCTAGTGCAGCCCTGTCACTTCAGAAGGCCCTCTGTACTTCTCTGCTTTGATTTTCCTCACAAATCTTCAGCCTTTCTAGAAAATGCCCTGACATTAACTCAGTTAAGACTTAATGTCCACCGCTAGACCACAACACAGCTGCCTCAGAAGAAGCTAGGGAGGAAAAAACCTGGCACTTGGAAAATTCAGATTGAATGGATACTACCCATTCAAAAATTGACCAGATATTTTTAAATATGTAGCAATAAAATGTTCAAACTCTTTTTTTAAATTGTTTTAGGCAGTCTCATGTAGCACAGGCTGGCCCCAAACTCAGTGCATCACCCAGGATGACTTTGAACTCCTGATCCTTCCTATACATACCAACTTCTGTGATTACTGGCATGTACAACTACATCTGCTTTATAGATGGATGATAACACAAGGTTTGAATGCTACCAACTTGGTTATATCCACATCCCCAAATTCTTAAAAAGTTTAAGAAATATATTTGGTCCAACATCTTCAGTGTTTTAATATTTATCATCTCTATAATTTGTTCACAATTTTGATAATTGATGTGAAAAGATCTCCTTCAAAAGAGATGCCATAAGAAAGTAAAATCCTTCAGGGATTTCTTTGTTGTTTAACTTTCTAGGTGGCAGCCCCAGGAGACAAATGAAAGTCTTAAGAATTACCAAGATGCTTTGCTTCAGAGTGACCTCACATTGTGTCCTGTAGGAGTGAACACAGAATGTTACAGAATATATGAAGCCACCTCCTTTGGTTCCATTCCTGTGGTAGAAGATGTAATGACAGCTGGCCACTGTGGAAACATATCCAGTCACCACAGCGGTCCTCTGCAGTTACTCAAGGCCATGGGGGCTCCCTTTATCTTCATCAAGGACTGGAAGGAGCTTCCTGCTATTTTAGAAAAGGAGAAGACTCTTGTTTTACAAGAAAAAGTTCAAAGAAGAAAAATGCTACTTCATTGGTACCAACTCTTCAAAACAGAGCTGAAGTGGAAATTTGCTAATACTTTAGAAAGTTCATTTTTTATGAATAATAAAGGTTAATCATATTTAATACTAAGTGTGTGCTCATAAGTGTGTGTATTTATAGTGTTTGCTAAGGTGCCTTCATCTGCTTCTATATTATGTAACAAACCAAATGCTCTCTCTTTTGACTACTACTATGTATAAGATAAAAGAGATGGTAAAATTTTACTCATATTGAGCTGACAAGATGGTTGAGTGGGTAAAGGTGCTTGCTGCCAAACATGATGACTTAAATTCAATCCCCACAAACCACATGATAGGAGAGAAATGAGTCTCACAGGCTGCCTTGTGATCTCACACCAACATGCACCCACATCAAATAAATAACTTAGATTCAGTACTATCAAAATGACTAAGTCAGCATTTACTAACTTCTCATCAACTTTAGCCCACATTAGGGGGCTGGAGAGTTGTCTCAGTGGTTAAGAGTGCTTACTACTCTTGCATGTAAGCTGAGTTTGGTACCCAGAATCCATGCTAGGCACTCAACCATCTGTAAATATTGTTCCACAGGTCCTGACACATTCTTCTGTCCACCATGGACACCTGCACAAGTGCATTAACACCTGAAATTTAAAAAAAAAGAGCTAACAGAGTGCTATTTTCTAGGGCTGACATTTGGATGTGAGGGCATAAGGACAGATACTGACCAATGGCTACAAAACTACAGTTAGATAAGATCAATGAATTTAACAGCTCTATTTTTTAAAAAATGGTGATTCTAATAATAAAGAGAGTCTGAGTGGATGCTATGTGCTCTCACAAAATGTATTAACTCAGATAATGTATATGTTAATTAGCTAGGTGTGGTCAGTCCACAATATATTATAAATTCCCGAAACATTGCACTTAATAAACACGTTCAATTTTACCTGTCACTTTTAAAAATTCCTCACTCTAGGAATCAGCATTATATATCAAAAGACTGGGTATTGCAGTCAGAAAAACAGATTAAAAGCTGCAATTTACATGGGAATTTTGCCCAAGCCAAGTGCTCATGCTGTGTCTTAGTTCTCTTCAGTATGAACAGTATTTGCCGCCTTGCTCTTGTGACAAGGCACCTGATGGAAACAAGTGGGGGAAAGCTTATTTTGCCTCACAGTTTCAGACCTCTTCAGTGCACCAAGGTCAGAAGGGAGGGTGGAACAGGTGCTTCCAGGGCAACAGAAGTGTGAAACCTCGACTGCTCACATCATGCTTGACCAGGTAGAGGAACTGGCCAGACCGAGGACAGGCTGCTAAAGACCTCAAAGGGCCCCTTCCATAGGCTGCAGAGCCTTCAAAAGGCCATTAGAGCAGAGGCAGTATCCTCTCACAAATGAGCTATGACTAGTTCAGGATAACACTGGGTGCTTGTCCTAGGAAGATGGCAGGAAGGTGTAAGCAAGAGGTGGGAGTGGGGGAGGGAGCAGGGGTCAGGAGCAAACAGTTGTCTACTTGGCTACATCTCTGAGAGACCAGGGTCTTGTTCCTGGGCTCTTAGTTTGCTGTCTTACAGGAGATGATTTAATGACATTATCTTAAATATTGATTGTTGTGTGCTCCCAACAGCCCAGCAGCAAATAACCTTGGATCTGGGGATAGGAAAAACCAAGGAGGGATTTTCAGTGTTCCATCTGCAACATTGTCAAGCCTATCCTTTTTCTCAGAATTGAATCTATGATGGTGCCAGGTTGTCTTTGTTTGTTGATAGAAATAAAAATGATCTTGGGGAAATTTAAAACATATTCAAGAATCTTTTATAACCAGTTTTGATGAAAACATGGTAAAGTTAAGTAACATGGAAACACCTTTTACAACCTGGAAAATTACTGTAAGAATATGAGGGGGACTCCCTAGACATAAATCCACCCACCTGTGGCCACCTAATTTTTGATAAAGAAATCAGGAATATACAATGGAAAAAGCATCTTGAACAACTGGTGCTAGTCAAGCCGGCTATCTGCATGTGAAAGAATGTAAACAGATCAATATCTAGCACCCTGCACAAAACTCAAGTCCAAGTGGATCAAAGATTTCAACATAAAACCAGGCACACTGAACCTGATATTCTGGAATGGTATGCTATGAAAGGATCAAGAAAACAAGGCTGGCAACCTCTCTATGGACTATATTCATGATTTTATAAAACTTTATGGACTATATTCATATATTTTATATGGCCTGCACTTACATTTAAAGTTTTACTTGATACTACAAGAGCTTTGATTCAAAATTACAATTTTAAGGCTAAATTTAACAGGGATAAAAGTCAAACCCTAGTCTTATAAAAGCTATTAACTTGTAAGCTGTTAATGATTATCAAATCATCCAAGTTAATAGTCACCTAATAAATAATCGAGTTCTTTAATGTGTCCAGAACTATACTTGTAGTCATGCTAAATACAAATGCAATTTGTGCACAGGAATGAGCTTTATTTAGTCTTCTATATATGTGTTTTCAAGGTCAAGCCTAAAGCAAGTAACTTTTATGTGTTTATATAATAAGTAAAGTTTATTTAAAATCAGGTATACTTAATAGATGTCTCTCAAAACTTTTCAGAGATCTGATGAATATAGCATTTAATGGAAAAGCTTTCCCATGATAGACAAAAATGTCAGCTCCTAGAGGCAGCCTAAAGTCTCCCCCAAAGAAGACAACTCCACCTCAATTGTGGTAAGTGCTAACTACAGGACAAACTACTTACCCCTTGCTTCTTCAGCCTCCAGGACCCTGTAGGGGAAAGGAACCAGTCAAAGAAATATGCCTTGAGCAGTGCCAAAGAAACACACTTTGGCTCGGCAACCAGAACCAAAGAAATGCACCTTGACCCTGAAACCATTGCCAAAGAAACACACTTTGTCCCTGGAATCAGAGTCAGTGAAAGAAATGCACCCTGGCCCTAAAATTGGAGCCAAAAGGCTAAAAAGGACAAGTGAAAGAAACACACTTTGGCCCTGAAACCAGAGCCAAATCTGACCCTAACCCTGTGCAGAAAGCTAGCCAATCCTTGAGTAGGAGCTCTAGCCAATCTGAGCTCAGCGTTAAAATCTGACCAATCCCCACCCTGGAAGCCCTATATAAACCCTGTATCTGTTCAGCTTGTGGCTGTTCTCACTACCTGGCTGTCCTCTGCCACTCTCCTGGATTCTTCCCTCCCAACAAACCCCTTTGATGAGCTTCGGGTGAAGACTTTCTTTTGCACTGCAGCAGAGGCGACCCTGGGCAGAGTGAGCAGGGCTACACTCTGCTCTCCACTCTCCCGGAGCAGAGCTGAACTGTAGCGACTTCAACCTGAAATCTCCTGCAGAAGCAAAACATCCCCAGCTGAAATATTCTTCTCCTGAGGAGGAACCCATACACTCAGTATTCTGTGACTCCTAAGTGCCAGAATACTTGTCCCATCCGCCCAAAATGCCTACAGACCCTGCCTAATGTGTTGACAAGCAGGACACTGGAGAGGTAACTGCCCCTCTTTGTCTTGTGAGCCACCATGTGGTTGCTGGAGTAGAACTCAGGACCTCTGGAAGAACAGCCAGTGCTCTTAACCTCTGAGCCATCTCCCCTTTGTTTTGCCTAGGTAAGCCAGTCTTCCAGGTTCCTCACCCTCAGAAAGTCTCTTGGATCTTCTGGGTCTGCCATCTAAAGCCGATTCTTCCCCATGTGGCAGTTAATGAGTTAATGCTGTCTGATGTGACCACTGAAGACTGAAGTCACTCAGCATCCATCAAGATTACCAAGAATGCCTACGATGAGCCCAGAATAATTGTCCAGGTAGCTAGTAGGTCTGTCATTTTAATCAATACAGAGGCCATTTGCTTTATATTTCCCTCTTCAGATTTATTCTTCTCAGATCTCTGGTCATGTTGATGGCTAACTATAGCTTCCTCAGTTTAATAGCAGCTGCCTGGTTAGTTCATTTCCAATATGAAAAGCAGGCCTTGCTGCTTCTAGAGCTATTAGGTCTCCTGGTGAGAGAAACAGACATAAAAGCAGGTTTCAATGTAACTTTTTACTATGTCTTTATTTAGAGGACTTGCTTTGCAATGACTGCTCTCATAAATCAACCATTTGTGCCTCATGAAAAATGAGATGAAAAAATAAAAAAAAGAATATCCAAGGATATGGAAGTTTAAGTTGTAAAGGTTTAAGAAGTAGTTTAAGATATGTAAATGCAATAATTTAAGATATATAAATAATAAAACTTAAAGATGATACATGATGACAAGACTTCAAAAATTCAGAATTTTAAGATATTAATCAATGAAGTTCTGATACTTAAAAGAGAATGTTTCTCATCATGCTGAAAACGTGTGTGTTGGTATGTGTGTTGGATAATATTCTGTTGTAGAGTTGTCATGCACACAGTGGGGTGTTTAACAGTGTTCCTGTGCTCTGTCCAATAGATGCCAGTGTGAGGACTCCCTGAGGTTGTCATAACCAACAACATTCCAGCCATTACCAAATGCCTTCTGAAACGTTCTGAGTGAGAACTACTCATCTTACAATTGGATGTGGAAAAACAATACCAAAATGTTTCTGTCTTCTGCTATATGAGTGAATGATGCGATATTCTGTGAAAAAGTAAAATATTTCAAGACATTTTACAAATATAGGCTCTTGTCATGGAATAGATTTTCCAAAGGGTTTTAGGCTTGAGTCTACTTAAAAATATCTAAGGCCAGATCTATCTCAAATCTAGTGACTGTAATGCTATAAACGTAGAAGTGTGAATAGATGTCATCATTAGCATGGCCTCTGGGGACATCTGTGCAGCTAACTGGGCCAAAGTCTAAGGCTGTACCTAATGGTAACTAGTGAAATGATAATGTCTAATTCAAAAACTCTATTAGGGAGGCAATCCATTTACTAAGTATTTATTGTCATTCCATGAAGCATTTTTTTTCAGGTTCCACTGTTGTTTATTTTGCATTTTCTAAACCATTGAAAGAGGCAATCATCCATTAGCATAATTTATGCATGTTGCAAAATAGCAACATTTAAAATCCTGGACTTAGGTGACTATTTCACAAAACATCCCCAGCATACAAACT